CCTAAGTCCAAGAGTTGGAGGTTGCTGTGAGCAGTGTGACACCTTGGCACTCTACCAAGGGCGATAAAATAAGACTCTGCCTCTAAAAAAAAATTTGCTCACTAGTTTTAGCATTTAGTGGATCTTGCCTGCCATAATTATTACTGCAGTATTTTAATTAGAATCTTCTTTCATTCCTTCTGTATTTATTATTTGGAATTCTTTCTGTAGTATGTATTTATGTATGTGTGTATTTGAGGTAGAGTCCTGCTATGTTGCCCAGGCAGGAGTGTAGTGGCCTGTAGAGGCTCACTGTAGCCTAGGAATCCTGGACCCAAGTGATCCTTTTGCTCTTAGCATTTATTTATTCAATTATATCACATATTTAAATAAGTATGGAATCATGGATGTTTATTATTTGTAGTATAATCTAATACTATAGTCTCACTTTGTCGCCCTCGGTAGTGCCGAGTCATCACACAGCTCACAGCAACCTCCAACTCCTAGGCTTAGGCGATTTTCTTGCCTCAGCCTCCCAAGTAGCTGGGACTACAGGCGCCCACCATAATGCCTGGCTATATATTTTTGTTGTTGCAGTTTGGCCGGGGTCGGGTTTGAACTGGCCACCCTCGGTATATGGGCTGGCGCCATATTCACTGAGCCACAGGTGCTGCCCTAATACTATAGTTTTTGTTGTTATTTTTGCTCATACTATTCCAACATTGGCCACTGGGAGCTCTTTTAGGTTGTAGGTTGGTTTCTGTAACCTTCTTTGCTTTTTTTTTTTTTTTTTGGAGACAGGGTCTCACTTTGTTGCCCTTGGTAGTAGAGTGCTGTAGTATCACAGCTCACAGCAACTTCAAATTCTTGGGCTCAAGTGATCCTCTTTGCCTCAGCCTCCCAAGTAGCTAGGACTATAGGCACCTGCCATAACACCTGCCTATTATTTTTTTGAGACAGAGTCTCACTATGTCAGTAGAGTGCTGTAGTATCACACCTCACAGCAACCTCAAACTCTTGGGCTTAAGTGATTCTCTTGTCTCAGCCTCCCGAGTAGCTGAGACTACAGGCACCCACCACAACACCATGCCTGGCTATTTTTTAGAGATAGGGTCTCACTCTTCCTCAGGCTGGTCTCAAACCTGTGAGCTCAAGCAATCTGCCCACCTCGGCCTTCTAGAGTGCTGGGATTACAGGTGTCAGCCACCGC